CCAAATATGGTGGTGGGAAGGTGTGGTGGTGGCGGGATTGGTGTTTAAATATTAAATGTAATCAAGTATTGTGTACTACTTTATAAGAATAAAATGAAATTATATTAAAAAGAGAGAAAAAATAAATTTTCAAAGATGACATCACATCAAAATAAAGAGCTTCTTCACGGTAAAACAAGCTACTTTATAATGAAAAGTCATTCCACTGGTTGGGAGGAAATATTTTCACATCATACTTCTGAGGAATATTAAAGAAACCCAGAACTCAATAAGAAAACAGTCTCAAAACACAGAGAGAGGAGCTGAACATACACATCACCAACGGAGTCATAAACACAGTTAACCAACAAGCAAATGGAAAGATGTTTCTTATCACCAGAAAAATGCAAGTCAAAGGTAACAAGGAGATACAACCTCACACCAGGGAAAAGGGTCTCTTAAAAAAGATCAGAAGAAACAGTTGTTCCAAAGGATATAAAAAATAGGAACCTGGGATTAGAGAGATAGCACAGTGGTCAGGGTGCTTGCCTTGCTTGAAGCTGAACTGGGTTTCATCCCTGGAATCTTATATGGTCCCCCAAGCACCACCAGGATAATTCTGAAGTGCAGAGTCAGGATTAAGCATTGTCAGATATGGACCAATAAATAAATAAATAAATAATCACCAAAAACAGACCAACCAAATAAAACACCCATAAATGTTCACTCACTGTTGTTATAAACGTAAATTAGACCAGCCTCTACATAAATCAGCATGGAGAATTCTCAAAATATTGAAAATAAAGCTACTATATGATCCAGAAGTAAAGTGGTACACCCTGCAAAATAGCTCTCTCAAGAACACAGAAACTTGATTCAATCATACACACACACACACACACACACACACACACACACCCTCTGCAGCACTATTTATGATAGCAAATTTTGGAAAGAACTCATGTACCCATTTTCAATGAGTTAATAAGTTAGAAGTACTACCTATAAGCTGGAACAATAGTATAGCGGGTAGGGGTTTGCCTTGCATGAGGCCACCTGGGTTCGATCCCTGGCATTCCATTATGGTTCTTCGAACTACTGAGCCATAAAATTGAAATCACATCTCTTTCAGCCACATGAAGCTGGCGATAAGACACATTTTGTCCACAATTGTCACTAAACGATTTCTAAGCGTTGGAGCATCATGATCCTGGTAAAGCAGAGTGTCCCATGGCTGTCCCTAGATCCAGCTGTAACTGTGACAGTATCCCTAGATCCATGTGACAGGTCTTTAATATGATTCTCAGGTTGAGAGGTCTCAGGTCTGCAAGAGACTTCTGGAATATAGTGCTGATAGAGCTTAGCATTAGTCTTCTTAGGGGGTGGGGGTGTGTAGGGGGGAATAGGTAGGTAGAAGGCCACACCTGGCAATGCTCAGGGCCTACTCCTGACTGCACTCAGGAATCAGTCCTGGTGGCTGGGGGGACCCTTTGGGGTGCCAGGGATCGAATCCAGGTCAGCTGCATGCAAAGTAAGCTCCCTACTTGCTATACTATCTCTCCAGCCCCAACTTTAGTCTTTGGAGAAAATTTTCTATGAGATTTCAGAAAAAAACTCTGAAAATGAGCAGAGTTCACAAGGAAGGCAATAAAACCCAGAGTTCCTCGATTCTTCTAACCAGCAACCTTGGGGACACAGTATCTTGAGGAAATCTTTCCTTTGGTCCTGACTGGTGTCCACAGGGAAATCACATGCACGAATATTGGAATTTCATGAGGGAAATGCACCTAATGAGCGGACCAGGACTGCCGTAACTATCTCCTCTGCTAAGTCCCTTAGGTGTGCACCCTGGGAATTGCAGAACCTGGTCGAGCCTTTTAGCTCGGGGACTGGTGTTTTATTGCTTCCAGCAGAAGACTGAGACAGAGAGCTTGAGTCTCTATCATTCCATCCTGGAGGAATTGGCACTTCCACTGGAGATTGTTGGTTCAGAGTTCTCAATCAGGTGAGTACGATCATGTAGGAGATAGTGCAGGAAAGGGTCAGAGCGAGCAGGAGCCAAAGGCAAGTTCAAGTTCTAGCTCAGGTTATGGTGGTCCTCTTGTAGTCTATGGCTGATGGATGAAGGATGCTTTATTGAGAAGTGAGCATTAGAGGCAGCAACTCAGGGTTGATTGTTGATGAGGTGAGAGAAGCCCAATGAGAAATCAGAAAGAAGAAATTCCTCCCAGTTATTCACAGAACTTTCCAAAAGATATCTGCGGTGAAAAGTAGAAAACAAGGGTAGCCATGAATCTGTAGGGAAAAGCAGGAATTTCCTTTGAATGCTTAAGATGGAGGCATGATTTTTCAGTGGTTTATATTCCTGCAAAAGTTCCCATATTCCAAAAGGGCATCTGATAATCTGGTGCCAGTATTTTTCCTTTCCTTTCTTTTCTTTTCTTATCTTTTTTCAAATTTTTTTGGGGGGGTGGTCACATCCAGTGATGCACAGGGCTTACTTCTGGCTCATGCCCTCAGGAATTACTCCTGGCGGTGCTTGGGGGACCATATGGGATGCTGGGAATTGAACCCGGGTCGGCCATGTGCAAGGCAAACACCCTACCTGCTGTGCTATCACTCTGGGTATCAGCAGTGCTATCAGACCCTATATATATATATATATGTATATATGTATATATATGTATATGTATATATATTAATCAATCACCGTGAGATACAGTTACAGACTTACAAACTTTCTTAAATATGTTTCAGCCATACAATGATCAAGTACCCACCAGTACCCATTCTCCACCACCAATGTTCCCAGTATCCCTCTCACCACCCCCACTCCGACTAGTCACATGAAAATAAGATCCAATTTGTTGATAGGGATTTGTGAAGGAGCTGTGGTTTGCTAGTTTCATTGCCTTTGCAGTTGACTACATTTGTGCATTTTCCTTGCTTTCTTTACTACAACTTTTCTACATATTTGTCCTTGTATTTTTATGGGTTGGGTTTTCATTATTTTTGGCCATACTCGGCAGTGCTCAGGGCTTACACCTGCCTATGTGCTCAGTGATCACTTTAAGTCATGCTTGGGGGACCAAACGGGGTGCCAGGGATTGAACCTGTGTCAGCCAAATGCAAGGCAAATGTCCTGCCTGCTGGACTATTGCTCTGGCTCCTGAGATTGTGATTTTTTTTGTTGTTGTAGTTGGTTGTTTGTTTTTGCTTTTCAGGTCACAGCCGGAGATGCTCACTCAGAGGTTACTCCTGGCTCTGCACTCAGGAATTCTTCCTGGCGGTGCTCAGGGGACCATATAGGATGCTGGGAATCAAACCCAGGCAGGCCACGTGCAAGGCAAACGCTGTGATATAGCTCCAGCCTGAGGTTATGGTTTTATTCTAGTTTTAGATGGCCTGTCTTTAAGCAAGGATGAGACTTTTTGCCACTATATTAATTTGCAACACTATATTAATTGTTCCACACAGTTGTGGGTAGAACATAATTCATCCAGAAGTGTTAGTGCCATCTTGGGTCACTTTTCATTGGCTGTAAGGTGATAGAGCGAGACACTGTCCACTAATTATACAGGTAGTGTTTGTCTTTCTCCTGATTTATTTCATTTACTATTCATTGAAATGTTCATTTAATATCAAATTTAACAAATGTGATATTTGCGATGGATGTTGTTGTACATCTCTCTCTTTGGGGGGAAAAGGGTGGACACACCCAGCGATGCTTAGGGGTTACTCCTGGCTCTGCACTCAAGACTCCTGGTGGTACTCAGGGGGTCATATGGGCAGCTGGGGATTGTACCCAAGACTGCCATGTGCAGGGCAAGCACCGCTATCCTATCACTCCAGTTCCTGCAACTCTTTTTTGAATAAGTATAGCATATAAAATTGTCCATAACTTGGGCTTCAGCGATACATTCCAAAATTAAATCCCATCAATAATAAAATCAAATTTAAAAAATGAAGAAATGTGGGGGCTGGAGCGTTAGCACAGTGGGGTAGGGCATTTGCCTTGCACGCACCTGACCTGGGTTTGATTTCCAGCATCCCATATGGTCCCCCCAAGCACTGCCAGGGTGATTCCTAAATGCAGAGCCAGGAGTAACCCCTGAGCATCATTGGGTGTGACCCAAAAAAGAAAATATATGAAGAAATGAAATTATGTCAAAATAAAAGGGTTTTTTTTATTTGAATCTATTTAATAATACAGCGGTAGGGTCTTTGCCTTGCACGCAGCCAACATGGCCGACCTGAGTTCGATTCCTCCGCCCCTCTTGGAGAGCCAGGCAAGCTACCTAGAGTATCTTGCCCTCACGGCAGAGCCTGGCAAGCTACCCGTGATGTATTCGATATGCCAAACACAGTAACAACAAAGTCTCCAATGGAGACGTTACTGGACCCGCTCAAACAAATTGATGAACAACGGGAGGACAGTGGACAGTGGTTTTTTAATTTATATTAGTTTCAATTATTTTAATGTCACTTGTTTCCACCTGAGGAATTGTGTCTTAAATTTTCCATTCATCCTGTAGTCTGGACTGTGACATCCATAAATTTTCAGTTCCTTGAACTCAATGTCTAGACAGTGAACAAAATATACTTTTTGTTTGTTGGTTGGCCACACTTGGCAGTACTTAGGGTTTACTCCTGCTCTGTACTCGAGAATTGGTTCTAGTTAGGGATCAGGACGCATATGTGCTGCTGGAGATAAAACCTGGCAAACGCCCAACCCACTGTTCTATCACTCCATCCCTGAAACAATTTTGACCCTCAATACACAGTACTTGAAGTGTGGAATATTTTCAGCAAGACAGATAAAGTGCATGGTCATAAGAACTAAATGCTGAGTGGGACCACCTCCAAAATCCCCATCAATAAGTAGAATTTCAAGGAGAAAATAGCTAGTCATAAATGATCAAAATAAATTACTTTATGCAGACCATGAATTGTGAAAGCCCCAGTAGTATGTGTGAAAATCAGTTATGTTGTGTTGCTCTTTCCTGCCAGTCCCCTTCAATATGGAACAAGAGAACTCAACTGGAGTTTCATCTTTTCTTCTTCTGGGAATCTCAGAGAAACCAGAATTGCAGCCCCTCATCTTTGGAATTTTCCTGTCTATGTACCTGATCACCGTGTTGGGGAACCTACTCATCATCCTGGCCGTCAGCTCAGACTCCCACCTCCACACGCCCATGTACTTCTTCCTGTCCAACCTGTCCTTTGTGGACATCTGCTTCACCTCCACCACTATCCCCAAGATGCTGGTGAACATCCAGGCACAAAGCAAAGCCATCACCTATGAAGGTTGCATTGCCCAGTTGTATTTTTCTGTACTGTTTTCAGGACTGGATGATTTTCTCCTGACTGTGATGGCTTATGACCGTTATGCGGCCATCTGCCACCCCCTGCACTACCTGGCCATCATGAACCCCCAGCTGTGTGGGCTGCTGGTTCTGGTGTGCTGGAGCATTTGTGTCCTGAATTCAACATTATTAAGTTTAATGGTCTTACGTCTGTCCTTCTGTACAAACTTGGAAATCCCCAACTTTTTCTGTGAACTCAAAGAAGTGGTTCAACTAGCCTGTTCCAGCACTTTTGTTATTAACTTGGTTTTGTATTTTATGTCTCTGTTTCTGGCCGGGGGTCCCTTGGCTGGGATTCTTTATTCTTACTCTAAGATCTTCTCCTCCATACAGAGAATCTCCTCAGCTCAGGGGAAGAATAAAGCATTTTCCACCTGCACATCTCACCTCTCCGTGGTCTCCTTGTTTTACTGCTCAGCCATAGGTGTGTACCTGAGCTCTGCTGGTGCCCTCAGCTCACAGTCAAGTACCATCGCCTCGGTAATGTACACGGTGGTTGCCCCCATGCTGAACCCCTTCATCTACAGTCTCAGGAATAAAGACATTAAGGAGGCTCTGAAAGCATTCTTTTAGAGAAAAAAGGTCACAAATGGCCAACTGTGCTGGAGATACAAAAATTTCTTTTTAAAAAAAATTTTTTATTTGAACTGATTATTCAAACTACAATAGAATATTGGCACATCCAAATGTTGTTTTTATATTTTGTATGCATGTTTATGTTTTACAATTTAATTATTGATCCAAGCTGATATTAATTAAATTTTGTTTATTCCGCCCCTCTCAGAGAGCCCGGCAAGCTACCAAGAGTATCTCGCCCGCACGGCAGAGCCTGGCAAGCTCCCCGTGACGTATTCGATATGCCAAACACAGTAACAACAAAGTCTCCAATGGAGACGTTACTGGGCCCGCTCGAGCAAATCGATGATCAACAGGAGGGCCTTTACTTTACTTGTTTATTGAATCACAGTGAGATACAGTTACAAGGTTCATCATGATTGGTTTTCAGTCACATACTGTTCCAACACCCATTTCTTCACCAGTGTACATTTCCCACCAAAATTGTCCTCAGTTTCCCTCCCACTCTCTCTCCTTCTTTCTCTATGACAAGCACTTTTCATCTCTCTCTTTCTTTCTCTCTCTCTTTTTCTTTCTCTCCCCCCCATACCTTCAAAACCTCCAAATAAAATCTATTTACTTCACAGCTTGTGTACTCCTGATATTCTTTTCTGTGAGGCAAGACAAGAACCCAGTAACGCTGGGTCCCGGGTGGCAGAGGCGGATGGGGAGAAAGTGACCATCTTTATCCTCCCTGCTTCACATAAGACACCTGTGGGGCCCACCAACATCACCACGAGCCCCACAAACATCATCCCTGACAGAAAAGAATTTCAGGAGGAGGAAAATATTTTTATTAGAAAGGTATTTGATAGGTTATAGACCTCATCTGGTGCAGACAGCGGGACAGAGAGAAATAAAAGTGAAGGAACAGGAGTTTTTGGGATGTGCCCTCTGGAGGCCCCTAGCAAGACTGGGGGGAGAGCTGAGCACTGAGAGAATCTAGGCAGGACTAGAAATATTCTAAGTTGTCTTGTCTTTGGCCCCAGGTGGGCCCTAAGTCCTGTCCTCAGAGTGGGGACAGGGTGTTCTTTGATTCTGGGAGTGTTGCTATCTCATTAGCCAATCACCATTGGCCCCTGAGGAAGCTGGACCCCTACGGAGATGACAAACTTCAGCAGAGAAAGAGACTGCAAATAAGGTCTTGAAGGAGATTCTCTGGAAACTTCAAAGATACTCCTTTGTGACAAAGCCTGAAAACTCCCCCCAGGCAGGAAACTCCGGACTAATGCAACCCTAAGAATATGCATATAGTTTGCAAAAGAGGCAATGGGTGGCAATCATGTTTGGTCTATAGTCTACTTTCAGCATGCTTCTCCCATCCTGGGAGGATCCTCCCAACACCCTTTGCTTGGTGTTCCCTTCTCTGTTTGAGCTGCCCTTTCCCATAGCATGTGCGGTTGGCCTTCAAGACATGGAGTCAACCTCCTGTAACTTATCTCAACTATTCTAGGATGTTGATCTCCTATTTTGTTATTTTATATTCCCCAGATGAATGCAATCTTTCTATGCCTGTCCCTCTCTTTCTGAGTCATTTCATTCAGCATGATACTTTCCATGTGTGGTGGTGGGAAATGGGCACTGGTGGAGGGATGGGTATTTGATCATTGTATAATTGAAACCCAAGCACAAAAATTTGTAAGTCTACAACTGTACCTCATGGTGTCTCACTAATAAAAATTTTAAAAATCATATAATAATAGTAAAGAATATGCATATAAAAAAGAATATGCATATACAAGCTGATCTTTCAGGCCATTTGGCTGTGTCCCTAAACCACTTTTCTCTCCCTGGGCTCTTTCTCTTTCCCCTTCCTAAAAGCCCCCAAATAAAACCTGTTTTTACTTCACTGCCTGTCTATTCCTGAGATTCTTTTCTGTGAGACAGGACAAAGTACCTAGAAACCCTGGGTGATGACTAGGACTGACTTTCCAGGAAAAGAGCAATTTCTCACTCCAATTTGAGTCTCCCCAAGAAATCAGGTGGTGGGGATTAATTCCCATGCCGAGAAGACCAAGTGGACATCAGCTGTGGCTTGACAGCACCTCTTGGGGCTGCCGGAACTCAAGGTCCATTCTATTAGCTTCCCAGGTGTCCCAGGGTGGCAGAGGTGAATCTGGTGACAGAGAGGGAGACAGAGACAGAGAGAAAGAGGCAGAGAGAGATAGAGAGACTGCTCTCCTTTCCACCTGTGGAGGTCTGTTGAATATTGATCCAGTTTTAGGTTTCATCAGTGAATTGCCGTTTTCCTCACTCCAGAGAAGCTTCCAGTGCTCTAATCCCCCGAGTTTATCTTTTTTTTTCTTTTTTTTTATTAGTGAAACACCATGAGGTACAGTTATAGACTTACAAATATTTGTGCTTGGGTTTCAGTTGATGGAGACGTTACTGGGCCCGCTCGAGCAAATCGACGAACAATGGGAGGACCGTGACCGTGACCGTGACCATATTGTTTGTTATAAAAACACACTGAAAATGATCCAAAAAAATTCTTTAGAGGAAAGTGCATGAAGATTGTTGTATTTCACTCAGGGGCCATTAAGCCCTTCTGTAAGAGATACTAACTGAACCCCTTTCTTTACTGTCTGAGGAATAAAGACATAGAAAGGACTCTAAAGATTCTTTTCCTGGAAAAAAAATAAGGTTTTTTTTTGTTTGTAAATGTCAGTTGTTCTGTGACTGTAGAAATTCCTTGAAACAGAGGATGCATACTGAGAGTTGTGTTTTATCTTCTCTGAGTTGTGTATTATGTGTTTCAACACTGATTTGCCTCACTAACTAAGATGGTTTGATTTTCATTACTCTGTTAATCTTATATTTTTATCAATATTCAACTTTGTTCTCTCATCTGAAGATTTTTCCTCCCTACAGCTAAACATTCTATCAACTACTGTTAACTTTGGATATCAATATTTGTAAAGTTCCATTCATTTGATGCACTAGATGTGTGTCTTGAAATAATTTACTTTAATTCCAAAGGTAAAAACAAAAGAAATTTACTTTATTTTTGTTAAAATACTCCAGGGAAAAAATAAAACAAAGACCCATATCAACATATTTCCTCCAAAGGTGACCAGGAATAATAATCTTGTTACTGAAATATTCACTTATCAGTATTTTCTTACACAGAGAATTCTCATAAAAACAGTACTCTAAAGTGAAAGTAGGCATGCTAATTTTTTTCAAATAAATGGAAATTTAATCATGTCACACACTAAATATCTTTTTTTTTCTTTTTGGGTAACACCTGGTGATGGTCAGGGGTTACTCCTGGCTCTGCACTCAGGACAGTTCTTGAGGGACCATATGGGATGCTGGGAACCCAACCTGGGTCAGCCACGTGCAAGGCAAACACCCTACCCGCTGTGCTATCGCTCCAGCCCCACTAAATATCTTTTATATTGAACAATTTGCTTCTGATTATTCAAACTACATTAGAATATTGACACATCCGGAAGTTACTTTTACATTTTGCAAGCTACTGAGAGTATCCCACCTGAGAGCCTGTCAAGCTACCCGTGGCATACTCGATATGCCAAAAACAGTAACAATGATGGTCCTCATTCCCTTGACCCTGAAAGAGCGCCCAATATGCCATCGGGCTACACTAGCACGTGACAGGGATGAATGGAGAGGTTACTGGCACCCGCTGGAGCAAATCAATGAACAATGGGATAACAGTGACAGTGTATATTTATGTTAATGCGTTTTAATTTAATTATGGATTCATGGTGATATTATTTTTAAATTTTGCATTAAATCCTAGTGAAGACACTCAGTTAAAAGTTGTTCATGATTGGGTTTCAGTCATATACTGTTCCTACACTCATCGCTTCACCAGTGTACATTTCCCATAACAAATGTCCAGTTCCCTCCAACCCCCACTCTCACCCGCCCCCACCATCACCTGCCTCTCCGTGCTGATAATTAACTTACACATATGTACATATGTACAGCTTGTTTCTGTTAGCTTCCTATGCTACAGTTTATAAAATGCATTTGTGTTAGAAATGTTCTTAAACTCAGGATGATACTTATTTAATAAATGCTGAGTTCCTAAATTACTTTAAAATAGATGCAGATATCCACATGATTTTCTACAAATACAAGGGAGGAGATTAATTCAATGAATTCCTTGCTTTTCTATTTATTCCCCTTGTTATGGGAAGGAAGATATATTTTCTGGAAACGATGCACTTGGGTCCCTAATACAGCTTAATGCTTTGAAGGCACAAATAATGCAAGCCGAAGACTGATCTATTTGAGATTTTGGAGAAAACTCATTTTGGAGAAAGCTGGTGGTGGGCAGAGCCTTGGAAGATGGCGGGAGGGTTTATGGAGAAGGAATCACGGACAGGACTCACCAGTCTTAATTAGCTCCCTCGGGAACAGAGATTCAGGAGGCAAAATTTGCTTTTCTCCAGAGCAGTGACCCACAGGGAAATCATGTGCATGGTGGCCACATAATTAAGTGGCAGAATGGCAGCGTGCCTAATGAGCAAACATGAAGAGCTGTAAATACCTTCTCTGCCCAGTGCCTCCCTCGGATCCCCCTGTCTGAGGGACCAATGCTTTCATCCTCCTTGTTGTCTTGTCTGAGCTTCACTTTCTACCATCAACCACCTGGGGAGTCAGAGGATTTTGTATAAGAAATCCCACCCAGGTGAGTGCACCAGCCATGGATCTGACCAGTTTGCACTGAATTCAATCCATCCTTAATGCATAGGATTGGACTGGTCAGGGCATGGTGGGAAAGAGCTGGGGGCATCCCCCACTGTGTGTGTGTGTTCACATGCCAACCTAGTGGAATAAGATGCTCTTTTCAACTGATAAGAGTTTCTGGATTATACCTACCAAGATGACTCACATCACAGAGCAAAAATATCAGCCAGTAGATGGTCCTCAAGAGAGGATTTTGCTGATTCATGAGCTTTCACTCTAAGTAAATTTATAGAATCTGGAACTTGTGAGTGACGAAATCCTCCTTTCTGGAAATTCCTTCCTTCCTTCCTTCCTTCCTTCCTTCCTTCCTTCCTTCCTTTCTTTTGGCTTTTTGGGTCACACCCGGCACTGCACAGGGGTTACTCCTGGCTCTGCATTCAGGAATTACTCCTGGAGGTGCTCAGGGGATCATATGGGATGCTGGGAATCGAACCCGGGTTGTCTGTGTGCAAGGAAAATACCCTACCTATTGCTGTTGCTCCAGTCCCTGGAAATTTCTTTAGCAGCAGTGAGTTGAGGACACAACTCCTATTTCCTGACCCCTTCTCTCATCAAACTCCTTCCTGTTTACCCATCTTCCACATCTTTTTCAACAAGCTTTTTGCTCTGAGGGTTTGTACTAGCCTCCTGTGCATTCACAAACACATTTCTATAGGTCTTCTGGTTTCGTATTTCCTGTGTTCTCTGGACAAATATCTGCTAAATATAGTACTCACTAGATACACATCCTCTAAAGCTCTTTTCCTTGACATCAGGGTTACTCTCCCCAAACAACATATTAGATTAAATTTTTATATGTTGAATTTTTTTAATTTGTTGAAACATTTTTCCACCATTAGGACATAGACAACTGTCATTCAGCCTCCTACACAGGAGAACATGGTTTAGACTAGCCTAAGTTTCCTAAGGTTTGCAGAAATAACGGAATAAAGGCTGAAAGCAGGAAAGAAATTCTTGTTTCCTCTTTTTTAAATTTAATTTAATTTTTATAAAGTTGTTCACAATAATTGATTACATTTAATATTCAAACACCAATCCCACCACCATTATACCTTCCCGCCAGCATATTTCCATCTCGAATCCCAAACCCTGCCCCCAAAGCAGAGCTGAAATAATTTATTTTGTATTGCTTGTTATGAATAATCCACTAAAAATGAGACAGAAAAGGTTTATTAGAGGAAAGTGTATAAAGATTGTTGTATTTCACCCAGTAGCCATTAAGCCCATCTATAAGAGATTAGTAACATGTTATTAAAGGTTGGACTTGTGTGCTCATATATAAGGAATTAAACTTTTAACTGGATGGCGACTTTGTGGTCCAGAGACATCTCTGCAGTGTGTTGCTCTCTTCTACTTCCAAGGTTTATTTGTGAGTTTCTAGATCATGACTGTTGATGAGCTTAAATGGCACCAGAAATAGTTCGTGGTCCTGATTACCAGTTATTGGAAGCATAGGCAGATGGGAAGAGGTCGCCCATTCTTGGCTCTGGGTAAGTCTGGAGATTTCAGTGAAAAGGGACAGAAATTCTTGAAATGAGAGAAGTTCCTTTGAGGTCACAAAATCTATCCACAGAACATGGAAGAGAGTTTAATTCACAACAAATGCAGTAGTATTCCAATTAATGTATGTATTGCCTAAGACAAAAATGATGCCATTTTCTCCATGCTTTATAGTTCCCTCCACTTCATGGAACCAGAGAACAAAACTGGCACTACAGAGTTTCTTCTGCTAGGATTTTCAGAGGGATCAGAGTTGCAGTCCCTCATATTTGGGCTTTTCCTGTCTATGTACTTGATCACTGTGCTTGGAAACTTACTCCTCATCCTGCTCATCATCACAGACTTTCATCTCCACACCCTCATGTACTTCTTCCTCGCCAACCTGTCTTTTGTGGACATCTGTATCACATCTACTACCATCCCCAAGATGCTGGTGAACATCCAGGCACACAGTAAAGCCATCACCTTCCAAACTTGCATCACCCAGATGTTTTTCTTCCACATCTTTGGAGCACTGGACAACTTTCTCCTGGTGGTGATGGCCTATGACCGCTTTGTGGCCATCTGTCACCCCCTGTACTACACAGTCATCATGAACCCTCAGTTCTGTAGGCTGCTGGTTCTGGTGTGCTGGGTTACGAGTTTCCTGCATTCCTTGATAGAAAGTTTATTAGTGCTAAGGTTGTCCTTTGGCAAAAGAGTAGGATTGCGCCACTTTTTGTGTGAGCTCAGTAAGGTGATCCAACTTGCCTGTTCTGACACCACTCTGAATTACGTGGTAATATATTTGACGGTTATCCTTTTCGGTGGGGGCTCCCTGGCTGGCATCCTTTACTCTTACTCTAAGATCATTTCCTCCATCCGGAGAATCTCCTCAGCTCAGGGCAAGCGTAAAGCCTTCTCCACATGTGCGTCTCACCTCTCCATGGTCTCCTTGTTTTACTGCTCACTCATCGGCGTGTACCTGAGCTCTGCTGATGCCCACAGCTCATACTCCAGTGCAAGAGCCTCAGTGATGTACACAGTGGTCACCCCCATGCTGAACCCCTTCATGTATAGTCTGAGGAACAGACATAAAGGGGGCTCTGAGAATTCTTATAGGAAAAGAGAGAAGAAAACTTTAATTGTCCTGTGGACAAAGGAATGTCTCAGTTTCATGGTCTAGAGCAAGAGCATCAGAAACTGTGATTTCTTTTCAGAGGTGGCTCTGAAAAGGAAGCGAGCACTTTGTACTTTAATTTACTCCTCTAATTTGTTTTTAAATGTACTCTCTATAGCTTCTAAAATTCAACTTAATAAGCTGTTTCCACTCTTGATAGGCGGGCTTTTCTTTGTAACAATTTATGCTGTAATTTTCTTAACTTGAATCTAAAAATATTGAAGCTTTCACTTGTATTATGTACTATGTTTATGTTCGTTTGTTTTTCTATTCTTGAGAGTGGGGAATTTGCCACCTCCAGCAGTGCTCAGGGGCTATGTGGATGTCTTGAGAATAATTTATTCTAATTAGTAGTTTAAAGTAAATTTTGTGCACCTTTATTGAGAGAATAGTAGTGAGACTTATACTTTTAATAAAAACTATGCATCCACATTTTTTTCTTTTGGTGTGGGGAGTCTCACTTGACTGCTCAGGGCTTATTCCTAGCTCGGTGTTTAGTGATCACTCTTCTGGTGAGGGTTAGGACTCTTATTATTTTTTTTTTGCTTTTTGGGTCACACCTGGCAATGCTCAGGGGTTACTCTTGGCTTTGCACTCAGAAATCAATCCTGGCAGTGCTCAGGGGACCATATGGGTTGCTGGGAATCGAACCCGGGTTGGCCGTGTGCAAGGCAAATGCCTTACCTGTTGTGCTATCACTCCAGCCCCGGGTTAGGGGACGGGACTCTTAAGGCGAGTGGCCTACCCAGTTCCAGTCTATCCAATTGTTCCCAAAATTCCAACAGTTCCCCAGATACATAGAAATCTTTCACGATTGGTATCCAGTCATCCTACAGTCAGTGCATCCCTAATAATGAAGAGAGCTGAAGGTATCATATTTCTTGACTTCAAATTTTGTTTCAAGACCATATTGATGGTAAGTATAATACTGGCATGAAAAGAAAATAGATCATGGAACCAGCTTAAGAATTTGAAGCCTGGCGGGAATGATAGTACAGTGGGGATGGCACTTGCCTTACTCATGAGTTTGAACCTGGGTTTGAACCTCAGCTCCCCATATGGTTCCTCAAACCCCATCAGGGGTCTGAGCAGAGCGAGGACTAAACCCTGACACAGCCAGGACTATTCTCCAAGCCCTAAAAAATTGATAGAAACTTATGAACATATGGGCAATGGATACTATTCATATGAATCCACAAGATACTGTTGAGAATTAAAAGTAGGTTAGGAATGTTGCTTGTTACTGATTTTATTATCCAAGTAAATGAATGATATTAAAATTTTGTCTTATAAGACTCACATATATTAACACACAATGAATAAAAGATGGAAACATAACAACAGAACCACAATACTTAGGAAAACACGTGGAAACTAATGGCCTTGACATGACTTCATATATGATTTTTTGAATATGACACTCAAGACAGATAAAAATACTAATAATTAAGAAGAACAATATCAGGCAAATATTTCAACAGTAAAGGATGCAATCAACAAAGAAGAATACTCTATGATAGAAGGAAATATTTTCTTTTTTTTTTAATTTTTATTAGTGAAACACATATGAGGTACAATTGTAGACTTTCAAATTTTGAGCTTGGGTTTTATCCATACAATGACTGAGTACCCATCCATCCACCAGTGTCCATTCCCCACCTCCAATGCTCCCACTATCACTCCCATGCCCCCAACCCCACCATCCCACCCCACCCCTGTGGCACCATCCTACCCCACCCCTTTTGTTCTCTCTCTCCTTTTGGGTGCTGTGGTTTGCAAAAGCGGCATTGAATGGCAATCGTGTTTGGTCTATAGTCTATTTTCAGCATGTATCTCTCATCCTGGGAGGATCCTCCCAATACCCTCTACTTGGTGCTCCCCTCTCTATCTGAGCTGCCTTATTCCCCAGCATGTGTGACTGGCCTCCAAGCCATAGAGTGAACCTCCTGGTACTTATCTCGGCTATTCTTGGATGTTGGTCTCCCAATTTGTTACTTTATATCTCCCAGATGAATGCAATCTTTCTATGTCCATCCCTCTCTTTCTGACTCATTTCACTTAGCATGATACTTTCCATGTAGTACCACTTGTATATAAACTTCATGACTTCATCTTTTCTAACAGCTGCATAGCACTCTATTGTGTAGATGTAGATGTACCAAAATTTCTTTAACCAGTCATCTGTTCTCGGGCACTCGAGTTTTTTTTCCAGATTTTGGCTATTGTGAATAGTGCAGCAATGAACATAGAAGTGCAGATGTCATTTTGACTACACTTTTTTGTCTCTCCGGGATATATTCCCAGGAGTGGTATTGCTGGGTCAAATGGGAGCTCAATTTCTAGTTTTTTTTAGAATCATTCATACTGTTTTCCAAAAGGGCTGAACCAGTTGGCATTCCCACCAGCAGTGAAGGAGAGTCCCTTTCTAGCCACATCCACATCAACACCCATTGCTTTTGCTCTTTTGGGTGTGGGCCAGTCTCTGTGTTGTGAGATGATATCTCATTGTTGTTTTGATCTGCATCTCCCTGATGATTAGTGATGTTGAACATTTTCTCATGTGCATTTTAGCCATTCGGATTTCTTCTTTGGGAAAGTTTCTGTTCATTTCATCACCCCATTTTTTTCTTGGGGTTAGATGTTTTCTTCTTGTAAAGTTCAACCAGTGCTTTGTATATCCTTGATATCAACTCTTTATCAGATGGGTATTGGGTAAATATCCTTTCCCATTCTGTAGATTGTCTTTGTATTCTGGTTATTGTATCTTTTGAGGTGCAGAAGCTTCTTAATTTAATATAGTCCCATTTGTTTATCTCTGTTTCCACTTGGTTGGTCAGTGGAGTGTCATCTTTGAATGTACCATTAGTCTCAATATCCTGGAGGGTTCTGCCTACCTTTTCTTCAATGTATCATTTGGATTTTGGCCTGATGTTGAGATCTTTAATTTTTTATCTGACTTTTGTGCATGGTGTTAGGTCAAGGTCTAAGTCCATTTTTTTGCATGTGGTTGTCCAGTTATGCCAGCACCATTTGTTGAAGAAGCTTTCCTTGTTCCACTTCAAATTTCTTGCTACCTTATCAAAGATTAGATGTTCATACATTTGGGGTTGTGTGTACGGATATTCCACCCTGTTCCATTGATCTGCAGCCCTGGCTTTTTTCCAGTACCATGCTGTTTTAATTATTATCGCTTTGTAGTAGAGTTTGAGGTTGGGGAGGGTAATGCCTCCCCAGGTTTTTTTCCCAAGAATTGCTTTAGCTATTCGTGGGTATTTATTGTTTCCTAGGAATTTCAGGAATTCTTGATCTATTTCTTTGAAGAATTTCATGGGTATCCTTATAGGGATCATATTGAATCTGTATAATGCTTTCGGAAGTATTGCCATTTTGATGATGTTGATTCTTCCTATCCATGAGCAGGGGCTATATTTCCATTTCCTAGTGTCCTCTTTTATTTCATGGAGGAGTGTTTTGTAGTTTTCATTGTAGAGATCCTTCACCTCTTTAGTTAGGCTGATTCCGAGGTATTTGATTTTCTGGGGCACAATTGTGAAAGGGATTGTTTTTTTCATGTCACTTTCCTCTCTCTTGTTATTTGCATATAGGAAGGCCATGGATTTTTGGGCGTTGATTTTATAGCTTGCGACTTTACTGAACAAGACTATTGTTTCTAGGAGTTTTTGGTAGAAGATTTAGGATTCTTGAGATACATTATCATATCATCTGCGAATAGTGAGAGCTTGATTTCTTCCTTTTCTATCTGGGTACCTTTAATGTCTTTTTCTTGCCTAATTGCTATTGCAAGTAATTCCAGTACTATGTTAAACAGCAGTAGTGATAGTGGGCATCCTTGTCTTGTCCCTGATCTTAGAAGAAAGTGCCTTAGTCTTTCCCCATTGAAGATAATGCTTGCCATGGGTTTGTCATAGATGGCTTTGACTATCTTGAGGAAAGTTCCTTCAAAACACATTTTGGTGAGAGTTTTCATCATAAACGGGTACTGGATCTTGTGAAAAGCTTTCTCTGCATCTATTTATATAATCATATGGTTATTATCTTTACTTTTGTTGATATGATGGATTATGTTGATTGATTTCTGAATGTTAAACCATACTTGCATCCCCGGGATGAAACCTACTTGGTCGTGGTGTATGATCTTTTTGATGAGTTGTTGGATTCTATTTGCTAATACTTTGTTGAGGATCTTCTCATCTATGTTCATCAAGGATATTGGCTTATAGTTTTCTTTGTTGGTGGTGTCTTTGTTTGCTTTAGGTATTAGGGAGATATGTGTCTCATAGAAGCTGTTTGGGAGAGTTTCTGTTTTTTCAATTTCCTGGAAAAGCTTGAGGAGAACTGAAAAAAAGATCTTCTTTGAATGTTTGGAAGAATTCACTAGTGAACCCGTCTGGGCCTGGGCTTTTGATTTTGGGAAGAGTTTTGATTATCACTTCAATTTCCTTGATATGAATGGTCTATTCAGGTATCCCAAGTCTTCCTGGTTCAATCTTGGGAGAATATAGGAATCCAGTAATTTGTCCATTTCTTCTAAGTTCTCTTGTTTTGTGGCATACAGACTCTCAAACTAGTCTCTGATGATCTTTTGAATTTCACTGGTTTCTGTTGTAATGTCCCCTTTTTCATTTCTGATTCAGTTTATTAGGGTTCTCTCTCTTTTTTTCTTTGTGAGTCTTGCTAGTGGTTTATCAATCTTATTTATTTTCTCAAAGAACCAGCCCTTGGTTTCATTGACTTTTCGGATTATTTCTTTGGTTTCCATGTCGTTAATTTCTGCTCTAAGTTTTACTATTTCTTTCCTTTGGCCAATTTTGGGTTCCTTTTATTGGTCTTTTTCTAAAATCTTGAGCTGTGTGGTTAGGTTATATATGTAGGCCCTTTCGTCTTTCCTTAGGAATGCTTGCAACACTATATAAATTTTCCTATTAGTACAGCTTTAGCTGCGTCCTATAGGTTCTGGTAGCTAGTGTCTTCATTCTCATTTGTTT